TGTATACATAATTCTTATTGCTCAACACTTACATTCAACCAGCCAAGTTATCAGAATTATAATATTTAAGGTCATTTACATGCATACAACCCAATTCCTATGCATTTACATATCAGACATCAAAAGTTTGCTTTTTAGATTTATACCACGCAAATCTTTCACGTAACTTCAATAATACCGCCATTTTAACTTTTAAAAGGTGAAATACACTTTTTTCATGCACGGGTAACGTGGCATGCATGTAAAGGTTGAAGTTAGGTGCTAGATATGTACACATAGGAATTGAGTGGTATGTTTGTAAATCTTCCATACTTAAATATGTATTTTTTGCTTTTATTTATTCTTCTTATTTATTTTTAATTATTAAAATATCATGGGAAATCTTCCATATGATATTGAAACCTAAAATATGTGCCCCATAATGTTTTTTTTTCCCTGAACTTCAATTTTTCGCTACAAACCACCCAACCTATGCCAATCTGTAGGTAAAAATTGAAGTTTGGGGGGTTGATATGTCAATACATAGGAATTGGGTGGTAAGTATGTAAATGCCCCTTCTTTTTGTTTGGTATTTATTGATTATTGCCTGTTCTAACCTTCTAATGTCTCAGGTGTGCACTGGAGCTAAGAGTGAGCTTCAGTCCAAGCTTGCTGCTCGGAAGGTACTACAACACCTTTCAGCATCATTTTATATGCATAACAATGTGTAATGTAGCTAATTTTAGAGGTATCTACATACATACCACCTAATTCTTATGTATTTATTTATCTAACACTCAAATTTTATTTCTTACATTTACAACACCCAAATCTTTCATATCACACAAAAAATACTATCGTTTTAACTCGAGTGAAATACACCTTTTCATGCGTAGGCAAGGAAAAAATGAAGTTTGCGTGTTAGATGTGTAAATACATAGGATTTGAGTGGTATGTATGCAAATCTTCCTTAATTTTATTAAATATATTTTTTGAGTTATTTATTTATTTTTTTCTATTTATTTCAGTATGCTCGTATCATTCAGAAGCTTGGTTTCCCTGCCAAATTCAAGGTAATTATCATCATATGCTTGAAGTATTGTTGCTTTTTATTTTTATTTTTTTTGGCTTTTAATCTCCTAATTTGTATTTATTTATAATAAAATTTAGGATTTTAAGATTCAAAATATTGTTGGTTCTTGTGATGTGAAGTTTCCCATAAGGCTTGAAGGACTGGCTTACTCCCATGGTGCCTTCTCTAGTGTAAGTTTTATGCATCATTGCCTCATTTTTTTTCCGAAGATTTATATCTTTGTTGCACGGATGCGGATACAGGGACATGGACACGGGACACTGTTATTATTTTATTAAAAATATTTAACACAAACATGCGTTAGATGCACCATTATCATAAAAATTATATATATATATATATTGAATAAATAAAATATTAAGAAAAATATAAAAAGAAATTTAATAGCATTATCTTTCGAAAATTAAGATGTCCATAACGAGAATTATCAGCCCAGTCAAGCGATTGACTAATCTTTTAAGCTCATTTGTGAGAAAAGAAATGAGATGAAAAAGTAGAACATGCATGTTTAATCCTTAAATAAAAATTAATTTTTTTAATCTTACTTATAAAAATATGCTGTAAATGCTTAAAAATATATTTTTCTTAATTTTTAATTTACTAATTTAAGACACTCGTGTTCTTTTTTATTTTAATATTATTTAAATCATACACATTAGGGATGTGTCTGAGGCATGTCTGCAAGTTTTGGTATCCGATAAATGTCTGACGTTGCACTACTCCTTATTTAAATGTGTCTAACTCCTAAACTTCAGTTTTTACGTGCATGCCATCTTAGGCAGTGTTTGGTAGCATATTTTTAATATGTTTTAACCATAAATTTAGCTTAAATCCAGCGAAACAAATAAATAAATAAATAAATAAAAATAAAATCCACTACTTTAAATCCAAATTTCTCGTGTTCCATCTTTCTCTTTCTGCGTTCCATCATTTTTATGATGTAAATGCGGATTTAGTAAATCCGATTGCGACCTGGATTTATTCCGCCGTCGCTCGTGAGCTCTTCCGTTGCATCATCGATCTGATAAATTAGGATTGATCGGATTTAATAAATTCTATTTAACATAAAATTAAGTTGCATCCAAACACCGCCTCCCCTTTGCCTGAAAACGTGCATTTCACTTCTTAGAAGTTAAAATAGTAGTATTTTCTGTCATATGAAAGATTCGACCCCTCTTTTTTTTCAATTTTATTTTAAATTTTTTTATATTTACATAAAAAGCTATTTCTTCTATTTTGTAATTTTCCAATTTAATGGCTAATTTAAAGGATTATTTATGTAATTATTCATTGATGCAGTATGAACCAGAACTGTTTCCTGGTCTGATCTATCGAATGAAGCAGCCAAAAATTGTGCTTCTCATATTCGTTTCAGGCAAGATTGTTCTTACTGGAGCTAAGGTAGCTTAATTCTTTATTGCAAGATTATATTAATTGATCTATTTAATTTGCTTCGATTAACTTTTATTTTTGCACTTTCAGGTGAGAGAAGATACTTATGCTGCATTTGAAAATATATATCCTGTACTGACAGAATTCAGGAAGATCCAGCAATGGTATGTGACCATAATTTGAAAATTTACATATCTAACACCTGAATTTTGATATTTACATTTCTAACACTTTGATGTTATAACTTCTGCATGAAAATGTGCATTTCCCATTTAAACAGTTAGTAGAAGTGGTATTTTTTATGTTATGTCGCAGATTTGAGTAGCATATATACAAAAATGAAAGTTCAGCTGTTAGATATGTAAATATATAAGAATTGTGTGGTATTTAAGTAAATGCCCCTAAAATCATTTGGCTTATCAAAACTGTTTTTTTCCTGCAAACTTTTTTGAACCCGATCTATGGTTTGGATTTTCTAAGACAGGAATAGACAGTTGGACTGTGATAATCATTTAAAGTAATACGGTTAAATTTATCTTAGTTCAGGTTACCCACGTCTTCTTTAAACATTCAATTATCAACTAAACATCTTAAAAAAAAATTAAAGTTGAAAAAAGGTTAATTTAAGACAATAATTAGCTACAACAAGCCAATGAGTGCACTTCTAAACTACAGTAATGTAACGAAAATGAAATAATCTGCATGCTAATCATAAGTATTATAAATCAATATTAAAGCATCAAATGGTTTACTTTTTCAAGTACGATCATTCACGATAGTTCAAAACTCCAATGCAGTTTACTATATTAGTAAATATCTATATTATTTTATATCAATATAACCGTCACGGTAGAACTTTTTAAAATTGTATCAATTAAGATACACCAATATCAATATCTTTTTTTTAATTACATCTATGAGTACCTTAGCATCCCCACTGGTACCATAAAAGAGAAGATTTTCATCATAGTCAACATGAATATGCAATCAATTTATGTACGCTTTTAAATAATGCGTAATAGTAGTCTTATTAAAAATGTAAAATAATCACAACGAAATGACCAATAAATAACAAAAGCATAAAAATCACAGTAAAATTGTGTAATCAAGTTTCAGTACCCTATCAATGAATTTGATTTAGAAGAAACTAGAAGTTACAATAGCTTAAAAATAAACGTACTATCTCGTTTAGCCGACTTACCTAAAAGCTTCTGTCTCTAATAGTTAGATATAATAAAAAAATAAATTTTAAGCATATTGTTTAATTATGTTTTATTAGTCATTTAATTAATTATGTTAATTTAATTATTGGTTAACATATTTAATTGAAAGTATTCATGTCACTTTAATTTAACCATCATTAATACTAAAACTTTAATCAACATCTACTATTTGTATTAAATTATTGTTCAGTATCCAATTAATGTCCACTCTAATTTAAATAAGCATCTGTAAACTTTAATTTCATATTTCAAACAAATATTTCATCTTATTTTATTTTATTTTATTTTATTTTTAAATTTCAGTTTTGTTTTTAACTTAATGCTATTTTCATTATTATTATTATTATTATGATGTGAGTATTTATTATGTGTAGTATTTGCCAGTGAAACTCAATTTAATATAGGGGGATTTGCATACATGGCACACAATTCTTATGTATTCACATTTCTCATGCCTAACTTTTGATTTTTGCATGTATAACCCTCAAATCTCTTGCATCACATCAAAAATATGATTGTCACCGACCTTCTTAGAGTGAACTACATCTTCTTATGCGTAGATTTTGACGTGACTAAAGCGTTATAAATGTAAAGATGAAGGTTTAGGTGTTCGATATATAAATACATAAGAATCCCGTGATATGTATGTAAATTTTTACGAGTGGCATTGAGTTGAGAGAAAAATAAGAGAGAATGCAGAGGGAATGAGGAGAAATTTGTTCTTTTGCTCTTCCTATCTGTTTAAGGCGGTGTTTGGCTGCAATATTTTGACGGCAAAATAAATCTCGTAAATTCGACTGTGAAGTCGGATTTAGAAAATTCGGATTTACATCGAATAACTGATGGAAAAGACAATATTCGTTTTAACAGAGCACAAGATTTAAATTTTATATTTTTTTATGTTTGGCTGGATTTACTTTAAATTTATGGCTAAATTATGTTAAATTATTGTTTTCAAACACCCCCCTGAATTCCTCTTATTTTACACAACTAATCTTTCATCTTTACATTTCTCATCTTGGCTTTTGTGTATTTCAGATAGCAGATTGAGAGGGTGGACTGCCAAGCTGTACATATAAACATGAAGAGGATGAATATTGGTTATTTATTTATTTTATTTTTTTATTTTATAAATCTAGATATTAGTTATAAGTGGATTTTGAGCTGTTCATGGTCATATTACTTGCAATAATGGATTTTATGTATGATCAAATAGTCTAAATATATTTAATTAAACTTATATTTTTGGCTATTATTTATTCATCTCCTTCAAGAAGATTGGTGCAATTACATACAGACCATCCATAACTTGTTATTTATAAATCTACCCTCCTTTCGTCCATTTTTCAAATTCTTACTCGATTTGTTCTTTTCGTTTTATCAAATTCTCAATGGTTTGATCATAACATGCATAAATGTATCAGTTGGATAGTTCGAAAAAAATTCATTTGGGTGCATAATTTGTAAATATCGGTGTTTCGTGTGGTCTCTATGTAATTATACCTGAATGATTAGCGTTAGTGGACTTTATGAAATGTGCAATTTTCATTTTATATGTATTCTATATTTGTGGTATTCATTATAATGCTTGTTGAATGGATGTCACTCAAGTCTTATGATGAATTCACATATCTAACACATAAATCTAATTTTTTACATATGTACCTCATATTTCCCTATATTTTTGTGTTATGAAATATTTGAGTGGTATACATGTAAAAAAATTAAGTTTAAAGTGATAGATACATGAATACATAAGAATTGGGTGTGTAAATAAGTGCCTCTAAATATTTTTTAGAATATTTAATT